GGAAAGCTCCTAGAATGTTCTACAAGCATAGCATGTTACGTCATATTTTAGCATAAAGAATCAGAAGCTGTAAGCTATATCAAAAAACACTCGCAGAACTTTCTTTCGATCTTAAATTTTGGCGAGCCTGGTAAAATAATCGCATAGCTACACTTTTGGTTTTTGGATGGGACGTTCTTCTTTATTCCGACTCATAGTTCTGATGAATATCGACGCGACTGATTGTACTAAAACTAGCTTCCACTCCCGAGTATTGGTAATTAGACAGATAGTTTCGATTTCTTTTATGCTTGTACGCTCATGTTACCTTAAATGTAATTGTTCAATAATCAGAGTGTGTCTTTAGGTATCGATTCGTCTGGGGCGAGGATGCACTTGGGCCCAATATTCCTGTGGGTGGTAAAATGGGAGCTCCGGAAAATCCCGAGCTGCACACCTATGACGGAGAGTATCGCGGTACTCCCTCAAAAGGAGATGTACTTATACCAGAGTTGGTGATTGCAGTTCTTGAATTCTAGTTACCATCTAATCAAAATACTTTGCAGCTTTTCCTACCGTGGACCACCTACAACTACCACATACATTGATAGATGCGTAACTAAATTCATCACAGCCCTACTTTGGTTCTGGGTCACTTACCACATGTACTACCATTCAGGGCATATATTTGTAAGTTTTCAAAAGATGTGCGGTTTTTTTTCTTGGTGAGGACACAATAGTGGAGAAAACATCACTTTAGGGACATTGGTACATGCCATATCTGCATGAATTTTCCGATGAAGAATTGGGCATAGCTCCTGATTCCGAAGAAGATCCGGAATATTGGGGTAATCACGGAAAGAAGTATGGAACGTACCGTTAAAGATACCCATTTTCATATTATAGTTTCGATTTTGAATTGCTGTTGTAGACGTTATTTTGGTGAAATTAGAAATAGTGTATAAACCTTTAGATCTTGCGGACACATTGGTCGTGTAATTGTGGTTCAAATTCTTTTTGCAATAGAGTAATAGGTGCGAGCTTACCGCTCGCGAATCCCCGATTGTTGCCTTCAATACAGTCTACTAGCGTATCATGTTTATTAGAATATTAAGGCGATCAAGGTGGAATAGGGATTCGGCGTAGTTGATGTAGTTGACGACGGACCCATTGGTCGGCAGCGTGACAGGGAAGTCGGCGAGCCCAGAGGCGACGCGAGGGCAGGCAGAAGCGGTCGTCGGTTGGCATCCAGCAGATCTCTCTCGTCGACGTCCAGCGCGAACCTTAAGTATTGTCGGTGAGATGAGTCATGCATATCGTACTCTGACCTTCTCTCTCTCTCTCTCTCTCTCTCTCTCACGCTAGCTTCACGCAAACCGTCGGCAACCAGAAGGAGACCCGAAGCGAGAAGGGTGCCGTATAAAGGTAGGAGGGTTCTCCCTATGGTTAGCAACTCGTTCGCTTATACTCTCTTACATATCCGCAACGTAACAAGTAACCATGGCTTCAGAGCCAGGAGGTACGACAGCGGTTGATGCTGCGCGTACTGAGAACTCCTTTAAAGGCGACGGTTGTGAGTCGGGCACCTCGGCGGTGAGGATGTGAACTTGTTCCTTACCCATAACGAAGAGACGCTCCTGATAGTCTACAGACCACGAGGGTAGGCGACCAAGGACATCGTTGCCGAGAATCAGATCGTATGAGTCAGCTCTTGAGGAAACACACTGGGCTTCCGTGAAGTGAATCTTTTGCTTGAGCTAAGCGTTGCCGATCTCCAGGTCAACCGTCGCGCTACCGACAAACTTAACAGGTATGCCTGCCATTCCCACTGCCGATGGGACGAGGCACTCCTCCAGGGAGAAGATGCCTGGTAGGGGAGGATAGACTGGCTGGCTACAGAGATGCCAGCTCCGGTGTCGACGAGGGCAAGGAGCGAAAGACCGTTAACGCGCACGGGTATCTGTGCTGCGGTCGGAGCGCAATGAGAGCACTTGTATGGGCACTGTTGAGGCGCGTGGGGGCCATACGTTTTGCACGTCGATATCGACTTTGGAGAATTCCGAAAGTATCTGATCGTATGGGCTGCAGAGCGACTACCTGAGGTGTCTCAATAGAAGGCGGCGCGCCAGGAGGTACCGCAACCAACGGCGTGGCCACTGTAGGTGAGGCCTGCGTGTAAACTCTCCTGAGAAGGGGCAGCAGCCCCGGATAACTAATGCCAACGTACGTAATGAGCAGGAATTTGGCAAGGCGGGCTGATACAACGACGCAACAGAAGAAAACCCATATTTCGAACGGTGAAGGCATGGAAAAAGTCCAGAAGGAAAAGAGGTTTCCAGGCGCTGAGGGTGCACTATCATCGGAGGACT